GGCTGCACGGGCCTCTTAAGTGACAGAGCTTCAGATGGAGTTCAGGAGCCTGCCAGGGGCTGGGCTGGGCGGCTGGCGGGACCACCCTTGGCCGGGGTCACTTTGAGTCTTTCCTGGAGAGAGCCAGACATGAGCCAGGACCCCAGTATGCCACCGGGCCACAGACCCTCATCCCCTGAGCGAGCCATGCCCCCATTCAGGGGCCAGCAGCACGTGCCGCACACTGGAGCCCCCGAGCTCACCCGCGGGTCCTCAGATAATCCTCAGGGCAGTAGGATCCCATTAGACAGGTAGGAAAACTGAGGCCTGGGGGACCTCAAGAGCCTTTCCCCGGGCCATAAAATGGCCAGTGCAGCGTCGGAGCCCCAGCGCGGGCTGCCCCTGGACACCAGGATGCACCCCTCTGACCCTGACTCTTGACAGAGACCTCTGAGATGCTAGGGCGCACCTGGGGTCTCTGGAAGGTGCTAGAAGCGAGGGTTCTGGTCTGATCCACACACCGTGTCCGGCCCTCTGCCTGCTCCAGACTCCACCCCAGGCTGACCACTCCCCTGCCTTCCCTGCTGCCCCGCCCCAGCATCACCAATCCTTCTAGATTGTTCCGTCAGAACGCTCCGCCAGCACTCTGGCCCCGTCTCCCTGCCCCCCTTCAGAGCCAAACTTCAGAAGCTTCCTCCCCCCTTATTCACGTGTTGAGATTTTACCCTTAACCCACCCTCCGATGGCATCCACCCTGGGCTCTCCCACACCTGCTCCGGACAAGGTCACGTCTGAGCTGCCTGTTGCCAAGGCCGTGGACCCACCTGTGTGGACCCCTGGGCAGCACCGGACGCGAGACCGCTGTCTCTGCTCCCGCCTGCCCGGGGCTCCACCTGCCTTGCGCTCTGCCTCCTCGCCCCAGCGTCTGGCATTCTGTGCACGGTCGGGGCTCTCCCGGTGGCCCTGGCACCCCTCACAGCATCGGCTGTCATTTCTGAGCCTGTGCTTTGCCCCCGATGCCCCCAGGGCATCTCACGACCACAGAGCCAAAGCAGGACGCGGCCCGACTGGAGAAGTTTGTCAGCTTCCCCTGGAACAAAGCAACAAAGCGCACCACTACCGTAGGAGCTGCCCGTCACACCCGAGCTCTACCCAGGAGAGCGAAGGCAGGGTCCCCGGAATTGTCCTGGCCTGGGAGCCATCCCAGCCCCCTTCAACAGGGGCTGGGTGAGCAGCCATGGCCACGCAGAGTGTCCGTGTCCGCAGGTACACCCCTTGACCACAGGCTGGGCAGAGACACTTGTAGGACAATCAATGTCCCTTGCAGGACATTTCCAAAAAGACAAAGCTCCGAGTAGCTGCTGACAGCCTGGGTGCAGGAGAGCATTCTCGGGGAGGTGGGGGGGGTTCCATGATCTCTTAATGGGTACCCCAGAAGGTCCCTTTGACAGCATGAAAAAGCACCTGCACAAATTTCAGAAGCCTCCGCCCCCTGGTACAACCCAGGCACAACCCCTGTCCACCCAGCGTCTCGCACGGGAGAGCTGCAGGCCCCGGGACGCCTCCTGTGCCCCCATGGCTGCCGCCCCCTCTGCCCCCAAGGCCCGCCCCCCACCTCACAGCACCTGCCTGAGCTGCCCCGCAGCAGCCCAGCGCTCTAAGCCTCAGCATCCATGCCCCGCCCCCTCCCTGCCCACAGTCCGGCGGTGGCTGTCGCCAGGCCGAGAGCAGGAGGACCAGCCCCTCCCGCGGCCACTGCCAGCTCTCCTCTGCCCTCCCAGCCGCAGGGCGGGTCATGCGACCTTTTCAGAAGGCACCTGGTGCCTGTCCAGTGAGGGCCTCCGCACCTGCTCCGGCTCCCGGACCTGGCTCCCCCGAGGGCCCTCCCCCCCGCCAGGGTCCAGTCTCAGGTTGGTGCGAGCTCTCCCCTCGTGTTCCCCAGGTTCCTCCTCCCGGCACCTGCCGTGCTTTCTGGTTATTGAATGGATTTATTCCCTCCCAGCGGCAGAGCAGGTGCCTGTTAGGCGTTGAACTGTGCCCCCCACAGACACATGGAAATAGGGTCTTTGTGGGCAGAGGTAAGGGACAAGCAGGGCCTTCATCCAAAATGACTGGCGTCATCCTACAAAGACACAGGCAGACCCCAGACCCCAGAGGGCAACCAGCCAGAGGACGACGGGGCAGAGAGCCCACCGGTGTCTACAAGGCAAGGAGTGCCAGGGACGGCCGGCAGCCCCCAGAAGCAGGGGCAGAGGCCTGGGCTGGCCCCTCCCCTGCAGGCTGCACAGCCAGCAACACCTTGACCTTGGGTCTCCGGCCCTCCTGGTCAGCCCCACGGCCATGGCCACGGGGGAGCCCCCACGTTCTGCAGCGGGCGGTGCGCTGGGCCGGTCGGGAGGCTTGGGTGCTCAGCACACTTGCACCTGCGTTTCAGGGATGCCCTTCCGGTCCATCCCCCCCTCCTAGGAGACCAGGGGCCCTGGGAGAAGGCCCTCGGGGCTGCCTGGGATCGGGGGTTCTCTCTCCACTGGATGGTGGCAGCTGTACTTCCCGTCCACGGCTCTCAGCACGCCTCCTGGATCACCCCATTTAAACCCCAGGGTTCCTCCACTCCTGGGGGCGGGAGGGGACACATGCCCAGGGCCACAGCTAACCCAGGATTTGCACCTGGACAGTCTGATGTGGAGGCCGTCCGTGTGTCTGTGAGCGTGGCGAGACACCGTCCTCGCGTGTCTAAGTGACCAGCTCAGCACCCCAGGTCCATGCACAACGCCCACCTACACAGCTTTCACATCACCCTACAGAACCTGTCCCCTTTCATCACCGGCTTCCCACGGTGCTCCCTGGTCATCAGCACGCTGCCTGTCTCTGAGCTTGCCTGTTCCAGGGCCTTGCAGACGTGGGACCACACAGAGTGCATCCTCGGGAGACCTGCTGCCTCCGCTGAACCCAACGCCCCACGGTTTGTGTGTGGTACAGGTGTCAGGATGTCCCTCCTTTTAAAGGCTGAACAATATTCCGTTGTGTGGGCAGCCTCTCGTTGTCCGCCCACTCGCCTGCGGGTGGACAAGCGGGCTGTGTCCACTGTCTCATGAACACAGGTGTGCAAATAGCTGTTCAGATCCTGGCTTTGCATCCTCCCGGGGATGTAGCTCGGGGTGCAATGTCGGGGTCAGATGGCCATTCTATGTTTCATCTTTCTGGATCAGGGGCCAGAAAAGTCCTTGCATCCCAAGGGCAGAGGTCATGGGGAGGACCAGCAGCCAAAAGCCTTGGCTTCCACAACCGTGCCTACAGATCCAGTGTTTTCCAGAATATTCCTGAGTGTCAATATCCTATCCCTGGGGCAGGCATTCAGCCCAGGGATTTAGACGCTCACACCGGACACGGGAGTGCCTGGGCCCAGCTGCTGGCCCTGGCTCCTGACTGCAGCTTCCTGCCCGTGCAGACCTTGGGAGGCAAAGCGTGAGAGCTCAGGGACTGGGCTCCTGCCACTCGTGTGAGAAACCTGCACTGGGTTCCTGGCTCCCAGTCCTGGCCACTGCAGCTGTCCGGGGCGTGAGCCAGCCAGCGGAACTTGCTTTCTTGCTGTGTGTGCGTGTGTGCATGTGTGTATGTGTGTGTGTATAAACCTCCGCCTCTGTCAGGGAGGGCAGGGTCTGAATCGCAGCTCCCGTCTGTGCACCTGTTCCTTCCCCACCTGCCACCTGGAGCCCGACTCCCGCCTCAGGAACAACGCGCCGCTGCCTTTGTCCACCCGTTCACATGCACAGGGAAGTGAGGGAGAACACAGACGCGAGCTGCAAAGGAGAGCCCTCGCCGGCCCTGCCCACCTGCCCGGCAGGCGCCCCACCACCTCTCCCCGCGGCGAGACGAGGCTCCTCCACAAACGTCTACCCGAGATGCAGAAACCACGCACACAAGCCTAGCGGCTCTTACAGGAACAGGACTTTGCTGTACACACCACACGCTGAAGAGCTTTCCCACCAGGGCAGCCGGCACGCCGGCCGTCCCACCGGCTCTGGGCGCCTGCACCTGCCAAGGCTCTGCTCCCGGCCCTGACCCCCAGCGACCTCGGGTCTCACTCCGCCCTGCTTCAGCCTGCCCCACCCTCTCACATCGCTGTTTTATTTAACTTTTTCTTTGTAAGTGCACACAACAAGCCAGGCGCTGTTCTGGGTGCTCCATTGACGCCCACTCACGGCACCCACGAGGAAGGTGCAGTCGGCAGCCACCCCACTTTCCACCCAGCTCAGGGACGAGGCCCCCACCCCTGCTGGAAGCACACGACCCATGGTCACCCACAGCCTCAGCACTGCTGGGCGTCCAGGGCCGGTTCCACCCCTCATGATGGTCTCTGGCCACAAACCCTCAAACCGTCACCTCCAGGCCCATGCAGCAGGCCTGGGGTGCCCACGCCCAAAGAATGGTGTGGCCTGGCCCAGCTCCGGGGGGACCACCTCTGACCTCGGGGCTGCTCGGACAGTCTGTTTGCAGGGCTCTTGAGCCACTCCGGGGAGTTTATATTAACCACGTGACTTCCGGGAAAGGGGGCTGCGGCCCACGTGGGAGCAGCCTGAGCCTTGGAGGCCAGCCACACGGGCAGTCGGTCCCGCCTCTGACATCAAACCCTGGCTCCCACGGCCCGGGGGGCCTCCCTGCTTGGTGACACTGCACACGTGTGGTCACCAGCCGCTGCCCAAGGCACCTGCTCCCATTGCTGGTTTTCACTGGTATCTTTTCATTCCAGTGAATCGAAACCATGAGCTCCACTGAGTTCTTGGAGTCACATCGGGCGAGGGACTGAGCCTCAGGGTGGTCCTGTGCACAAGCCCAGGGGGTTAGCGGACAGCTACCCAGCCTCCCCTGCACATCAGCGCCAGGCTCGCTCCTGGCCCTGCACTCACACCGTCCAGCCACACCCACGTGCTCCAGGCCTCCCGAGGGCTCCAGGAATGCACACACGACCCCAGGTGCCCCGGGGCCAGGCCGGTCCCGCCCCTCCCGCCCCCAGCCCGTACCTGCCAATGACCTCGATGTTGGAGATGGCATAGAAGTACTTGTAGAGGTTCTCGCGCTGCACGTAGGTGCCGCCCAGCGCCGGGCGCAGCAGCCGCATGCGCAGATCCGTGAGCGTGAAGAACTCCTTGAGGCCCTTGGCGCTCTCCAGGCGCGTGTAGAGGTTGTCCATGTTGCGCAGGTCGGGGCCCGCGAAGATGGCGAAGCGGTCCCGCACCTCGAAGCGCACGTGCTTCTCCTTCTTGGAGCCCGCCCAGCGCGAGTACTCCTCCGTGCAGAGCACCCGGTGCGCGCTGGAGGAGGACATGTCGCGGGCGCGCCGGGCCGACATGCCGAAGGCCTCCATGCAGTCCTCCGCGTAGAACTGGTAGGGCTGCCACGTGCGCCCATTGTCCAGCGACTTCTCCAGCACCATGACCGTGGGCCGGCCGTACTCGAAGGTCACCACCACGTCGTCCGTGAGCTCCACGCTCTTGTTCCAGGACAGGGTGATGTTGGCCTCCAGCGGGCTGGGGTAGCGGCTCCACGTGATGCTCTGCCAGTAGGTGACCAGCCCCTCGTCCTCCTTGTCCAGCATGAGCCGGGGCGGGTGGGCCAGGTCCGGGTTGGAGGCGTCACATTCGTTGCTGCACAGGTAGGGGTTCTCCTGCAGTGGACAGAGAAGGGCAGGGTGGGCACGGGCCGCTCCCACCCACGTCGGGGAGGCCGCCCGGCTGTCACAGAGCCCACGTGGCATCAGTGGGAGGAGTCCTCCCGTGGGCACTTTGTGCCCCCTTCCCCGGGGTACTCAGCTTCTCAGCTGTGCTGAGTGCCACCAGGAAGGGCGAGTCGTTAATCCCTTCTCCAGAGTTGCCCAGGGAGGGGCTGGCACTGTGGCACAGCAGGCAAAGCCGCCGCCTGCAGCGCCAGCATCCCATGTGGGCGCCGGTTCAGGTCCTGGCTGCTCCATTTCTGATCCAGCTCTCTGCTATGACCTGGGAAAGCAGTAGAGGATGGCCCAAGTCCTTGGACCCTGCACCCACGTGGGAGACCCGGAAGAAGCTCCTAGCTCCTGGCTCCTGGCCCGGCCCTGGCCGTTGTGGCCATCTGGGGAGTGAACCAGTGGATGGAAGATCTCTCTGTCACTCTGACTTTCAAATCAATCATCTTTGAAACAAAAACAAAAAACAAAGTCCCCTTAGCTCCCTATCACCTAGGGGATGGAAGGTTCCCGACCCTGGTCCCCCTGCCCCTGCCACGTGACACAGTTGCTGCGCCCCCCGGGGGCTCGGCTTGGCTGAGCCCTGACCCTGTGAGCCCCGCCCGTCCCCGCCTCGGGGCCTTGGCTGCCTCAGAAGTCCCCACTCACATGCTCGACCCTTCAGACACCCCCGATGCCAAGATGCCCCCGAGCCCTTAAACGGTACCATCGGGTGGGGGAACCCTTCGGGGAACTGGGGGCACCCTCCCAACCTGCACGCTCTGCCCCGCCTCCGTGTGGCAGCTCCCGCATCACATGCTGGACCATAAACCGGTCAACGCGGGGAGCTGCCCCGGCAGACGGTCAAACCCGACGCAGGGTCGCGGCAGCCCTGACTGGCAGCCAGCCCGTCCGCACTTGCTCTTGGCATCAGAGGGGCCGCTCTGTGGGAGCCTCAGCCGGGGCTCCGCACCCACCCAGGGCAGGAGCGCCGGACGTGAAGCGAGTCCTCGCCCACAGTCGGCCTCCTGAGGCCTGGAGATCTGACTGTTGGGGCCGAAGCCCCACCCCCTGAGGATTGCAGGGCACTGCCCCTCGCTTCCTGCCTCTCCTCCCACCCCACCTGCCAGCACCTCCCCACCCCGTCTCCCTGCGCCCCACCCCCACCCAGAGGCAGCAGCCCCCTCACCTGGCCCAGCAGTGGCCAGCTATGAGCTCTCTCCATTCCCCGTGTCTGGACCGTTGTAGGGACTCAGCCCAGAGACCCGGGGCTGCCCCCCACATACACCCAGGGTCCGAGGGGTGCAGAGGCAGGGCCGGGGCCTTCCCAGGTCAGGGGCCCTGCTCTGTGGGCCACTGACACTGCACGGGCAGCACAGGCGGACCCCCGATGAGCCAGCTCAGCTCTGTGCAAACCTAAAAGCGCTGTGAAGGAGAGTGGACACACACATGCACACACGTACACACACATGCACACACGTACACGCATACATACACACACATACACACGCACAACACCGTCACAGACTGCCACACGCCACCACAGACGTTAGCCCTGTGTGCTGAACGCCGCAGGTGTGTGTGCGGAGACAAAGTGGCCTGCGTGGGAGCTGAAGCCGCCCACTCTCAGACGAGCCACAGGGCGCCCTCGGCGGGAGTGCGCGCTGCCTTCTGAGGGCTGAGCCCGCGCCCTGCTGCCCGCCTCCCCCCAGGCGGCTCACCTAAGGCCGCGGGCTTTGATCCCCAGACCCCCCCAGGGCCCCTCAGTGGGCACAGCTGCCCTGGCGTCCACCGAAGCAGGCCGCACAAAGCCCTCCGTGACTAAAATAGCTCTGACCTCAATCCCCCGTGGCCAGCGTCCCCTGAGCCCGGCCTGAACCACTGGCTCCTGCTGCCCCTGGAGTCCAACACGTGTTGAACAGACGGGGCCCAGGGCAGCGCAGGGCTGGCCCAGGCCTTCCTGAGGGGCGCGGTCCTCGTGAGGTCGAGCCTGCTCCTCACGCACACCACGGCGCCCCGTGGAGGGGCCGGGCTCAGGCGTGGGGGGCTGAGCTTCCTCACACCCTGGCCAGTGATGGGGGTGGCTGGGAGGTTCCCTGCGGGTGGCCGTAGGCTGCAGAGGCCACCGGGGCTGCAGTGGGCAGGTGCGGCCCAGAGGGACCCCCAGCTCTCCGCAGCCGGGCAGGTGCCCTGGGTACTCACATGGTTCGTCCCCGGCTCTGGCCCCTGCTGCCTCCCCAGGATGGAACTGTGTGCCCCAGCCCCATTCTCCGTGTGCGGCTGGGTCAGGGCCAGCGTCCTTCACCTCCAGGGCTGTGGGGCCACACGTCTCTGGGGTTTGTGCCTGAGCTAAGTCAATACCTCATCCCAGGCCAGCAAGGGAGACGGGGAGGGAGGAAGGGCTCAGGGGGTGGCACTGCACTGTGAGGTTATTTTGCAGTGGCTCCCGATGGGACCTCTCCCAAGAGCCTGGCTTCTCCATACGCTGACACCAGGGGGCGTCACGCCGCCTCTGCCTTCCTGCCTCTGGAGGGCTCCTCCCAGCCCAGTGCTGGGGACTCTGTCCATCCCCACATGCCTGTCCCCCATCCCCGCCCAGGTCATTCTCCCTCCTCCTGGTTTGCAGACCCCCACCCCCACTCCGTGCACCTCCTCCAGGCAGCCCTCCCTCCCTGGCTCAGTCTTTGAATCCAGTGCCCCTGGCGTCAGCCACAGAGCTGGGAGCGTGCTGACATGGGGCATTGTGCACTGAGGGCTCCCCGTAGCCACTCACTAAGTCACACTCGTCATTATCATAATCGAGTGCTTCGAAGAGTGCGTGGAGAATGGAATCAAAAGCTAAGTTTAGGGGCCAGCGCTGTGGCGTGGCGGGTAAAGCCACCGCCTGCAGTGCCGGCATCCCATGTGGGTGCCGATTTGAGACCCGGCTGCTCCACTTCTGATCCAGCTCTCTGCTGTGGCCTGGGAAAGCAGTAGAAGATGGCCCAAGTGCTTTGGCTCCTGCACCCACGTGGGAGACCTGGAAGAAGCTCCTGGCTTTGGGTTGGCCCAGCTCCGGCCATTATGGCCGTTTGGGGAGTGAACCAGTGGATGGAAGACCTCTTTCTCTGTCTCTCTCCCTCTCCTATCTGCAACTCTACCTTTCAAATAAATAAATAAATCTTTAAAATAAAAAATTTTTGAAAGCTAAGTTTATATGGGTGCAAAACAAATTTTTGAAATCCTGCACAATTTTTCCTGACAACACATTTCCATGAAGTTCCTGGAGTATCCCTGTATTAGCCAAAACCTTTTCGCAGAATAATTATATTACCTTATCTCGTATTAAGTGTCAATTCGAGGCCTGTCCATCTCAGCCGCTGTGAGTCACCGACGTCACCCTTCTGCTGTCCTTGTCCCCTCCCTTACCCCCCTGCCACCTGCCTGTCCTCCTGGTGGTCCCCATGGTGGGGGAGGGGCACGTGGGATCCCTGAAGGCCCCAGCTGCGTCCGAGCTGCCCATCACCGGGAAGACTGACACAGCTGGCTATGCCAGGAGACGGGGGCTCCGACCCGGCCGCCTCAGAGCTGGCGGGGGCCCGCGGGCGGCCCAGAGCAGATGGCGAGGACTAATGAACCAGCCTGCGTGCCGCCCAGCCCCGTGCCTGCCGTGGAGCGGGCGGCTCCAACAGCGAGCTCGGTGAATAACTCCCAGGCCGCGGCCAAGCTCGCTTCTCTACTCTCGTACTGCAAACCTCCCTCCCGCCGGCCTCAGGTCTGGAGCTCCACTGAGCCACAGAGGGGCGCGGGGTGTGTGCCCCACTGCAGGCAGCATCTGGGCCGAACCCGCCGCCCTCCCCAAGGGGGAGGTCCCAAGGATGGAGTTGGGTATGCAAAGCCCTGTTTCCCCTCTTGCCCCTGACCCCAGGACGGCCCCGGTGAGAGCCGGTGAGGCTTCCCAGGGTCTCTGGGGGTGACGCCTCCTCCAGGAGGGCCGCCTGACACGTGACAGTCACAGTGAAGGGGCCCGGCCTGGGGAGCGAAGTGGGGGTGTCCAGGGCAGCCCCGAAGCCCACCTTGGGCATCCTGGAAACAGAGTGCTTCCGTAAGCACTTCCTGAGTGCCAGCCCCCCGCTGAGTGCCTTGCGTTGGCCCCAGAATAACATAACCGACAACGACGGCTCCCACCATCTCCCTGCGACCCTGGGCCCGTGTCCCCTGTCGGGACCCCTTTATCTGAGTCTGCAGCCGTCAAGGAGATGGGGTCGAGGGCCCTGGTCCCATCCCAGCTCTATCCTTCCAGGCTGTGGGCCGGAGGAAGTCACTTCCATCCTGGTCTCTGGGTTCTCATCCGGTGTCACGTGAGTGGGCGTGGACGGAATCCCCCAGGGCAGCGGTCATTACCCACCAGCGGCTGGACACACGCCGGCCTGGGGACCTCTTGGCCAGAACCGCCATCTGTGAGTGGGGAGGCCCAGGCTGTCCAGCGCCGCCAGCTTGGAGCTGCGGTGGCTGCTGCCCCGTGAGTGCCGTGCCAGTGGCCAGGGGTTGGGTGCCATCTCACGTCCTCGTCACAGGCAGACACACCCACCCCCTGGACTCCACGGGCCCCAATCTGGGGCGTCCCGCGCAACCACACGCCTTGTGCCTGCTCGTCCCCAGGCAGGCACACAGTGGCAAGCCACCTGGGAGGCCAGGCAGTGTAGCCCAAAGGGTGGAGGCAGGGGTGGCCAGCAGGGACCTGCAGCTGTAGAGGTCCTGGGGAGGGAGGGGCGGGACGAGCCCCCCTCCCGCACAGCCAGCAGGAGACCCCGGCGTGCAGTGTTCTGCAGAGAAACATTTACGCCACACTTTTGAAACCCCAGGAAGGTCTCTTAAATGCTTTCTTTTATGTATTTTCTGTACGCAAGGTACAGTTGTAAGTCAGAGGCCAGGTTGTAAACAGCGTAGACAAGCTGCAGGCAAAAAAATATAATTGAATGGGAAAG